GGCACGCAAAAAGCCAACCTTCCTTCTACAACACAAGCGCGGGACTCGAAACATCCTCGAAATTCCTGAGCGCGGAACGCGCCATCCTCGAATGGGCATGCAAAAAGTCAACATTTACATATTTGTTGCATCCCGGTCGGGGCTCCATACTTCGTTATTTAATATGAATTCTGCCCAAAACGCTCCGCACCCTTTTTTTACGAGGGAAAGCGGGGGTCCGCGGACCCCGTCAAGCAACGAGGATCCGAGATGGGGGGCGCACTTTCCTCGAGCGGGCATGCGCGAAACGCATGTGTTCCACGCCGTATGGGACTTTACCTCGTTATCTATCGCAAATAAATTCGCCGGCCCTCTTCAAGCATGGCACTGGGGACAGGAAACATGATCGACCCACGAACCCAGAAAGGAATATAGAAATGTAAGGCATGGCAACGTTTCAAAGACACTTGATTGGGCGACGGCGACGGGCAAATGCAATGCTGAATGTATCGATCTTGATGTACTGTGCCGACGGCTGCGCTGTGCTAGGCCGTGCTGAACTGCGATGTTCCATGCCGCGATTGTGCTCCGTATAGCGTTGTGGATCGAGTCCTCCCTGGCATCCGAGTCCTGACCGAACTGATCTGGATCTTAAGCTCGAGCTGCCTGAGCAGATGGTAGCTGCCCCAGAACCAATCGACAGAGGGGACATGCCAGGAGTACGCGCCGCGGAAGTTCCCAAGGGACGCGCCAGGCGACGTGCCAGGGGACGTGCCATGGGCACTCACCGCGGGACGTGCCAAGGGGACGCGCTACGGAACGTGCCAATGGACGTGCACCGCGCGACGTGCCAGGGGGACTCGCCACGGGACGCTCCGCGGAACGTGCCAGGCAACATGCCAGGCTGCAATGCTAAGGGTATCGATATTGATGTTCCTTGCCGAGGGCTGTGCTGTGCCTGGGCGACCTGGACACGTGAAAACACGCGTTTCGCTCAAGACGTTCTCAGCACATCCTCATGCTAGACATCCGCCCGCCTGGGCAACCTGGACACGTGCAAACAAGCGTCTCGATCGAGACTTCCTCGACACATCTTCATGCTAGACATCCGCCTGGGCGAGCTGGACACGTGAAAACAAGCCTCTGGTTCGAGACATCCTCAACAAATAGGCATGCTAAACATCTGTCTGGGCAACCTGGAGGCGTGAAACCAAGCGTCTCGCTCGAGACATCATCAAGACCTGGGCACGTGAAAACAAGCATTTCACTTGAGAGATCCTCTGAATTCAGGTCCCCAGGAGAGAACAATATATAACACAAAACAAGCGTTTCGCTCGAGACATCCTCAACAAATTATGAAAAACAAGCGTTTCGCTCGAAACATACTCAAATTTTAATTCGCTGGCCCACCCCGACCTCGATACTTATTGCAAAAAAAATTCGCCGGCCCACCTCAAATCAAACCCGGGGGTGAACCCACTAAAAGAGAACCCTGGGCATCAGCCCTTTCCGGGGAAACCTGGGCGCCAGCCCTTTCCGGGAACATGATCGACCCACGAACCCGGAAAGGAATATAGAAATGTAAGGCATTGCAACATTTCAAAGACACCTGATTGGGCGACGGGCACATGCAATGCTGAATGTATCGATGATGACGTACTGTGCCGAGGGCTGTGCTGTGCTACGCCGTGCTGAACTGCGATGTGCCATGCCGCGATTGTGCTCTATATAGCGTTGTGGATCGAGTCCTCCCTGGCATCCGAGTCCTCACCGAACTGATCTGGAGCGTAAGCTCGAGCTGCCTGAGCAGATGGTAGCTGCCCCAGAACTAATCGACAGAGGGAACATGCCAGGAGGACGCGCCGCGGAACGTCCCAAGGGACGCGCCAGGCGACGTGCCACGTGCATGGGGACGCACCGCGGGACGTGCCAAGGGGACGCGCTACGGAACGTGCCAATGGACGTGCCGAGGGACGTGCCAGGGGACGCGCCGCGCGACGTGCCAGGTGGACTCGCCACGGAACGCGCCAAGGAACGTGCCAAAGTGCATAGTTGAGTGTATCGATCTTGATGTACCGTGCCGACGGCTGTGCTGTGCTGGGCCGTGCTGAACTGCGATGTGCCATGCCGCGATTGTGCTCTATATAGCGTTGTGGATGGAGTCCTCCCTGGCATCCGAGTCCTCACCGAACTGATCTGGATCGTAAGCTCGAGCTGCCTGAGCCGATGGTAGCTGCCCAAGAACTAATCGACAGAGGGAACATGCCAAGAGGACGCGCCGCGGAACGTCCCAAGGGACGCGCCAGGCGACGTGCCAGGGGACGTGCCATGGGCACGCACCGCGGGACGTGCCAAGGGGACGCGCTACGGAACGTGCCAATGGACGTGCACCGCGCGACGTGCCAGGGGGACTCGCCACGGGACGCTCCACGGAACGTGCCAGGCAGCATGCCAGGCTGCAATGCTAAGGGTATCAATATTGATGTACCGTGCCGAGGGCTGTGCCGTGCCTGGGCGACCTGAACACATGAAAACACGCGTTTCGCTCAAGACGTTGTCAACACATCCGCATGCTAGACATCGTCGCTGGGCAACCTGGACACGTGCAAACAGGCGTCTCGCTCGAGACAACCTCAACAAATGCTCATGCTAGACATCCGCCTGGGCGACCTGGGCACGTGAAAACAAGCCTCTGGTTCGAGACATCCTCAACAAATCCTCATGCTAGACATCTGTCTGGGCTACCTGGAGGCGTCTCGCTCGAGACATCCTCAAGACCTGGGCACGTGAAAACAAGCAATCCACTTGAGAGATCCTCAGAATTGAGGTCCCCAGGAGAGGACAACCTATAACACAAAACCAGCGTTTCGCTCGAGACATCCTCAACAAATTATGAAAAACAAGCGTTTCGCTCGAGACATCCTCAAATTTTAATTCGCCGGCCCTACGCGACCTCGTTATTTATCGCAAAATAATTTCGCCGGCCCAAGTCGCAGGGGGGCCGGGGGGTTAACCTACTAAAAGAGAACCCTGGGCCCGCGCCCTTTCCGGGAAAAAAGCTCTAAACAGCATGTAAATGGTGCCGAAAAGGCCCTCAGGAGCAACACACAACAACCGCAAGTCCCTAAAGGGGTCGGCGGTGTGGCGTAAGCCTACGAATCATAAATGTTCCTCAGGTGTTGGAAAGATTGTTGCATTTGCTTCTTTTCGGCCTTCCGACGAGCCAAGACGGGCCGAAGAGGCCCCCAAGATGGCAACAAAGGCCTCCAAGGTGACCCCACCACGGTCCCAGGGGCCCCCAAGACGGCCTCAAGAGGGCCTGAAGACGACCCAAGAGGCCTCCAAGACGCCCAAGATGGCCTCCAAGACGGCCCTGAAGCGCCCCAAGAGGGCCTCGAGTCGGTTCAGAGAGGCATCCAAGACGGCTTCCGACAGGGTCAGAGTGGCCAGGAACGCCCTAAGACGGCCCAAGAGGACCCCAAGACACCCAAGATGGCCTCCGAGACAGCCCTGAAGCGCCCCAAGAGGGCCTCAAGTCGGTTCAGAGAGGCATCCAAAACGGCTTCCGACAGGGTCTTACTGGCCAGGAACGCACTAAGACGGCCCAAGAGGCCCCCAAGAAGCCCCAAAAGGCCCCCAAGGAACCAAGGAGGCTTCCAAGAGGCCTCCAAAAGGCCCGCAGGAAGCTCACTGGAGGCCCCAAGTGTCCTCCTCCTCCTCCTCCTCCTCCTCCTCCTCCTCCTCCTCCTCCTCCTCCTCCTCCTCTTCCTCCTCATCCTCCTCCTCATCATCCGCCTCCTCCGCCTCCGCCTCCACCTCCGCCTCCACCTCCGCCTCCGCCTCCGCCTCCGCCTCCGCCTCCGCCTCCTCCCGCCTCCACCTCCGCCTCCGCCTCCGCCTCCGCTCCTTCTTTCTCCCCCGCGTATTCCCCGAATGGTTTCCACAACGGCTGGGGGAACGCATGGTCCAATAGCTCGGCAGAGCTCTGGCCACAACGCTCGGTCACATAGGCGATTCAAAAGGGCAGCCGATTCGCCGTGATCGGGGCAGCGCGTTGCACGATGCACTGGCTAACGAGGCAGTGGAAGTCAGGCCGCAGTGATACCTCTCGGTGTCGTTCTGCCTTACACCCGACTCGCCCCGAGGTGGCCCTGGGGGATGGTCGCCCTCCGACTGACTACCTAACAGACCACCCCAACCCAACCCGAAGACCCGAATTTCGGGTTGGGGGGGGTACGGGTTCCATATGTGTTTTCTCGATGTTTCCCGACCCCCCCCCCACTGGAAATCGAGGGTAAATCTGAGCCTTCGGGTTGGGTTGGGGTGGTTTGGTGCCGATGGGCGGGCCACCTCCGGGAGGGCGGCGGTGATTCGCCGTCGGCGCCTTCGGCACCGGCACGGCTGCTCCCCGGGGGTGCGCTCTGGTCCGGCCTTCGAGGCGACTGCGGCCGTGGCGGCGCGAGGGCCTCTCCCAGGAGGCCCAGAGAGGTGAACACGAGGCAAAGGTGGCGGCATCGGTGGCAACCATGAGGGCCAGGAGGAGGAGGAGGAGGAGCATGAGGAGGAGGAGGAGGAGGAGGAGGAGGAGGAGGAGGAGGAGCAGGAGGAGGAGGAGGAGGAGGGGGGGAGGAGGAGGAGCAGCAGGAGCAGCAGGAGGTTGAGGAGGGGGGGGAGGAGGAGGGCTCCGAGGGCTCTGATGATGCGGACCCGCTCCAGAGTCCCTGCCGCACAGGGCGGGCGACCCTGCGCGTCCCGAGGGTGTCAGCACCAGCCCGGGACGGAGCGAGGAGCGGAGGAGGACGAGGAGGAGGGCGAGGACGAGGAGGACGAGGAGGAGGGCGAGGACGAGGAGGAGGGCGAGGACGAGGAGGACGAAGAGGGCGAGGACGAGGAGGACGAGAACGACGACGACGGCGAGGACGAGGACGGAAAGAAGCAGAAGGCGGCCGACTGAACACCCCTCGGGGCCGGGGCTGTGCGCCGCTCCCGCCCGGCCGCGCGACGCGCCCAGCCCGGCTGACGCTGTAGAACGCGGCCGCTGCGCATCCGACCATGCACCTCGGAGGTGCCCCAAGGGGGGGAGGGGGGGGGAGGGGGGAGAAGGAGGAGGAGGAGAAGGAGGAGGAGGAGGAGGAGGAGGAGGAGGAGGCTCGAAGCTTGCCCAACACACACGATGAGGAGTAGGAGGAAGAGGAACGGGAGGAGGAGGAGAAGCAGGAGGAGGAGGAGGAGGAGGAGGAGGAGGGGTAGGAGGAGGACACAGAGGAGGAGGACGAAGAGGAGGAGGAGGAGGAGGAGGAGGAGGAGGAGAAGGGGGAGGAGGAGGACGACGACGACGACGACGATGACGACGATGACCCCGAGATCTGAGCGTCGCGACTGTTTTCGCAGCGGGCGAGCTGTCCTATTTCGGGCCACAGGGGGCCCTCACGGATCGATCCTGATCATGGGGGCCAGGGTTCTGGACGAGTTCCCTTCCGATGTTGCATTTTTTCGTGACGACGGATCTCCCGAGAGATAGACGGGAAGGAGAAGGAGGAGAAGGAGGAGGAGGAAGATGAGGAGGAGGAGAAAGAACTCACAAATGAGATATGTAATGAAACTGTATGTTGCCTTCGTAAGCTACCGACTCTAATACGCGTTTAAAACGGGCACGGGTGCAACGCCGGCTACCTGGGTCCAAATGGCAGCGGCATAAGGGAAACACTTCTGGCAGGATCCAGGGCAAGCACTAAAGAACACTGTGTTCGAGCCTGGCGTTCGAGCGAATATGCTGTGCCTCGTCGACAGCCGGGTGCAAACCATCCAGACCACCTCCGAGACTCAGCTAACGACTTGTACAAAACTTGCCGGCGCAAGCTGACAGGGCGCTGACAGCAAACGATTAACCAAAGCACCGAGCAACCACTTGCGCGCCTCACTCTACTCGTCTGCTGACCCAAGGACATCGTTTCCAGACGCAACCCGAATACCTGCACGCCTTTTCTCGGCCATCTCCAAGGCCGTGGACTGCGATGGCAAATTCATCGCACGCCCGGGCCACCTTCGCATGTAGCCGACATGTCTGTAATGGTGATGGTGGACGACACGTTGAGTTAACCAGGCTGGTCGTCCACATCTCTGGTGAGACTGCTGACTTGGGAGCTGGGAGTGGACTTGTCGTGCTCCTCGCTCAACTTGACCGCGTTGCGTTCGTAGCTGAGCTGGCCACTCATGATGTCCAAAACCAATTCCCGGCCGAAGCTTTCCTAAGTCATAGGGTCGGCCCTCATGTCGCGGGCGTCGCACCACATCACATCATCGATTTGCTCGGTGCAGAACTGACCTGATAACCACCGCAAATGCCCAACCATGCCGTTCTTCTGCGGGGGTCGAACAAGAAAGATCCATGGCCAGGGCCGAAAAGACGGACATGCAGTCCACGACCAGCGTTGCAGGCACTGCACATCCCCCCCTCTCTCCTCAGCCCCCCGATCTCCTCATGAGAGGCCCGCCCACTGATCATCTCGTGAATCGCGAGGGGGTGCGCCTGCAAGCCGTCTGCTGCTCCGCACGCCGCGAGCAGCTCCGAGCCGAATGGTGATCTGCACACGAGCTTGTGCGATCGGCCCACGGCGTCGAGCAAGTGGCACACCTCCCCGCCGTTGCGGCGGCACTGACCCAATCGCATGCACACGGTTCCTCGGTTCCTCTCATGCCGCATTCTGCCCCGTCGCTGCGCGCGCAGAGTTGGCCAACGCATTTCGTCGAGGGCAATGCGACGCGCCCCATTGACCTCACGCATGGCCAAGACAACGGAGTCGAGATCCATCACGCGGCGGATGAGCAGTTCCTTCTTCACCATCTGCAGCGCAACAATGTACTCGGCGACGCGGCGCTGGGCGAGCGACGCGTATGCCGCTGCTCCCAGGAGGGAGACAAAGCGGTCTGGAAGTTAACCTCCTGCCGGCTCGCTGGCATTCTCCGGGACCATGTCGACGCGCCTGATCGGCATCAGTGCGTCGACAACGATCTACCCCCGATACTAAACCCTGAGGAAAAATCAAATTCGGGGCCCAGAGGGGGGGGGGCACACGCCTTCCCCCGCAGATCGCAGCATAACAGGCGTCGAGGAGGAGGATGGGGATGCCGATGATGACGATGATCATGAGTTCGAGATCCTGGGCCCGCGCACTTGCAGACCCTCGCCCGCACTCTGCACGTCCTAAAGCTGGCCCGCGCTCTCGAGATCCTTGGCGCCCATCGCCAGGAAGCCTCTGCGATCATAGGGTTCGGCCTTGCCGCTCCCATCCCCCGACCAGACCTGCATTGGCCGGGGATAAAAAAACTCCCAGAGGTCAAAGGGGGGAGGGGGGGGGGGAGAGGGGGGAGGGGGGGGGGGGGGGGGGGGGGGGGGGGGGGGGGGGCATTTTCCGGGGGGCGGGGCCATACCCGCCCTGGTCGAGCGCAACGGCGCCGTCGGAATTGCGGCGCTGGTGCACCCCGCAGTTGGTGAAGTCGTCGCAGACCCCCTTCTTCTTGCCGACGACGCTCTTGACGTGGCCGATCAGCCAGTCAACGAGCTCCTCGCGCCCAGCAATCTTCAGACCGACAAAATGTTTGGACAGCATGAACCCAGACTTTGAGTCGCCAGCACCGGGCATCTCGCGCTGGGCCTCGAGCCCCAGGCCACACCTGCTAGGCTTGGCGCCGCAGTCTGGCGAGCGCGCGACCTGGGCGAGATTCATGGAGAATGCTCGGGGCGCCCCCTTGCATGCCGCACTCGACTCGATGCAGCGCAGGCACTCGGTCCGCTCGTCGAAAGAGTCGCAGCCCGGCACCTGCCTGAGGACGGCTGCGCTGCCGGGCGGCAGGGCGAAGTTCACCTCGCGCCCGCGCGACACCTTGCTCCTGCATCTCGGCATAGGTCACGCCCGGCAGGAAGGCCTTCTCGACGCCCACAGCGACGCAGACCGTAAACCCAGTCTGGGCGACGCGCCGCCTCCGAGGACAGCTGCGCAGTGACGCACGCGTCGCTGCCCCCACGACCGTCTCCATGTCCAGCGCCCATGTCGCGGAAGCCCCTGAAGGCCATGCAGCACTGGATGGTCCTCGCAGTCTTGCCGTCGGGCCCCTTCTGGTGCCTCCGCATGAAGACGCGCCGGGAGCCCGCGACGCTCCCAGCGCCCATGCGCGGTCGCCTCTCGAAACACGAGTACTTGACCCGAATGGTGAGCTCCTCGAGGATGGCTGCTGCCACTTCCTTCGACAGCCTGGACACTTCCTCCTTGGCCATGAGGTCGGCGTCGCGCTTGATGACGGCAGTCTCGCACATGTTAAGCACGGCTGTCCAGGAATCGCCAGCAACATGGCTGCCCGAAGTTTCCTCGTTGAGGCCCAGGAATGCTTTGCGCGCCAATTAGTCGAGGCACAACTCCACGCATTCCTCCTTCGTACTCCTCCTCTGGCGCGGCGCAGTCGTCCGGGGCGGCACCGCGCCAGTAGTTGTGGCACTGCGCGTAAATGCCCCGACGCTGGCGCTGCGTCTCGAGGCGCAGGGGCAGCTCGCGTGGTAGGCGGCCCAAGTCCAGCCGCGGCGTGCTCGACAGCTGCGTAGAGCATCTGCCGGCTGTCGTCGCTCTCCAGCTCCTTCAGCTCCTGGGCCAGATCATCCGCCCCTTCGGTTTCACGCCAAGCTGCCAGCATCACCTGCTAGATGTGGCCAGAGAAGTCGGCGCCAGTCTCCTCTGGCATAGCCGAGAGTGCTGATGGGGATCCTCCCTCAGCGGTGCTGCCAGCGTCCTCTGGAACGTCGGTGACATAGCCATCGAGCGCTCTATCTGGATCTTGTCCAGCGTCTGCTGCCATCAGCGTATCGTCACCTCAACTGGGTGATGCGAGCTTCCTTCTACTGCTCGCAGACAAACAAGCACACGGGCGCCGAACCAGACGCCGTCGACGTGAATCTGCTGAATATCACCTGTATTCTGAGGGGCCACCAGATAACTAGGCAGGCTGTGGACGCATCCGGGCCAATCGCCCACTGGCCGCGCAGCAGACGCATGGCACGGACGTCTGGTAGCTTGATGGACCCACGAACCCGGAAAGGGATATAGACATGCGCAGCATGGCCACGTTTTCACGATACCCAACTGGGCGACAATTCACGAAACATCCCACGAGACACCCCGCGAAACATCCCACGAGACACCTCACGAAACATTCCACGAGACACCTCACGAAACATTCCACGAGAAGCCCCGTGAAACATTCCACGAGACACCCCACGAACAGGCAACCACCCAACCAGACACCCCACGAAACATTCCACGGGGGTGCGACTGGGTGTGGTCGTGCTGGGGTGTGGTCGTGCTGGGGAGTGGTCGTGCTGGGGTGTGGTCGTGCTGGGGGGTGGTCGTGCTGGGGGGTGGTCGTGCTGGGGTTTGGTCGTGCTGGGGGGGTGGTCGTGCTGAGACGTGGTCGTGCTGGGGCGTGGTCGTGCTGGAGCGTGGTCGTGCTGGGGTGTGGTCGTGCTGTGGTGAGGTCGTGCTGGGGTGGGGTCGTGCTGGGGTGTGGTCGTGCTGGGGTGTGGTAGTGCTGGGGTGGGGTCGTGCTGGGGTGGGGTTGTGCTGTGCTGGGGTGTGGTCGTGCTGGGTTGTGGTCGTGCTAGGGTGGGGTCGTGCATTTCGCTCGAGACATCCTGCCAAAATTCAAAGACATCCTGACATCCTCGAAATTCCTGCGCGCGGGACGCGGCGCGCGCGAGACACCCTCGGAATTCCTGCGCGCGGGGCGTTTTTCCGCGTCGCGGTCGGCTCTGCAAAACCAGCGTTTCGCTCGAGACATCCTCAACAAATTCTGAAAACAAGCGTTTCGCTCGAGACACCCCCAATTTTTGCAAAACCAGCGTTTCGCTCGAGGTATCCTCAACATATTACGAAAACAAACAAAACAACACACAACAAAAAAAACGCTCGAGACATCCTCAAAATTTAATCCGCCGGCGCACCTCGACCTCGATATTTATCCGGGAAAAACCTGATCGGACAAGAACGGGAAGCGTCGCTTTAGTCCACCAA